TATATAGAAAGGATAATATATATATATATATATAGACATAGATAATATATATATCTATGTCTATATATATACATCAAACTACTGGATCAGCCAAACTCTTCAAAAGAAAGGAAAAGTTCTTAATCATTCCAAATAAATGCTTATGCTATTAACTAATATTTAAGTAGACACTCACATATCAGCATCTATCAAGATTAGAATGTCTAACCAATTCTCCATGATCGGAATGTAGATTCAGCCGGGACAAAAAGAAAGCCTCGGAAGACTCGTATTGAAGTCGCGAGGAATCTTTGCAGAATCAAAATGGTACTGGATTGGTATTGGTGCATTGCTTGGATACATGTTTGTATTCAATTTTCTTTTCAGCGCTGCTCTTTCCATTCTCAGACGTGAGTGTTCTCCAACGAATTATCTATATGGACTTGTAACACACTTTTAAACCAATTTGAAGCCCATTTTTCTCTTTTTTACAGCATTTGGAAAATCTCAGCCAAGCCTATCTGAAGATACATTGAAGGAGAAACAAGCAAACATAACTGGGGAAAAAATTGAATCCACAGAGAAGAAGTCTGAAGGTCTCCTACAACCAAAAACATACATAACCCGACCACCATTTTCTGCTATTTAATTTTCTCTTCTTTTATCAACTACTAATGATATATTTCGCACAGGGAATGGAAACATTAGAGAGACCAACAATTCCGAAGAATCTCAACAAACCAAAAAAGGAATGGTTCTTCCTTTTACTCCACTTTCCATGACATTTGACAATATAAGATACTCTGTGGACATGCCAGAGGTAATCTAAATATGAAGACTAGTGTTGCATATATCTTGATGCAATGAATTTCTATTTTGTTTCAAAATATTGAGAAATACTTTTTTACAGGAAATGAAGGCCAAAGGGGTTCAAGAAGACCGGTTGGAGCTACTGAAATGTGTAAGTGGGTCTTTCAGACCGGGTGTGCTCACAGCACTAATGGGTGTCAGTGGGGCTGGTAAGACAACTTTGATGGACGTATTGGCTGGGAGAAAAACCGGAGGATACATAGAGGGAAGCATCATGATAAATGGTTATCCTAAGAAACAAGAAACATTTGCTCGAGTTTCAGGATATTGTGAGCAAAATGATATACACTCCCCTTATGTGACAGTTTATGAGTCTTTAGCATATTCTGCTTGGCTTCGATTGCCCGCTGAGGTTGGTTCTGCAAAAGGAAAGGTTGGTGACATGAAATTGAAATTGATTCTCTAGTTTCTCATGCTATACTTGCACAAAGTAACATATTATTTTTTACTATAGATGTTTATAGAAGAGATAATGGAGCTTGTGGAACTTACTCCTTTGAGGGGAGCATTAGTAGGATTACCAGGAGTAAATGGATTATCAACAGAGCAACGCAAGAGATTAACAATTGCTGTTGAGCTTGTTGCCAACCCTGCCATCATATTTATGGACGAGCCTACCTCTGGGCTTGATGCCAGAGCTGCTGCTATTGTCATGAGAACTGTGAGGAATACTGTAGACACAGGAAGAACTGTTGTTTGCACAATCCATCAACCTAGCATTGACATATTCGAAGCTTTTGATGAGGTGAGATGCCAATATTACCATGGTTATGATTCTATTATATGACATTGTTGTATGCTTTGCTTTAATATGCCATTCATGATGATTGCAGCTCTTCCTGATGAAACGGGGCGGAAAAGAGATCTATGTAGGGCCATTGGGTCACCATTCTAGTCAGCTTATTAGTTACTTTGAGGTAAGGCTATTAGAAGTAAAATGATTTCTCAATGGCTCTAAAACTTAATAGGAAAAAAATAATTTTGGGACTTCACTTTTTGTCAGGGAATTGAAGGAGTAAGCAAGATAAAGGATGGCTATAACCCAGCAACATGGATGTTAGAAGTGACAACAATAGCACAGGAGGAAATACTAGGGGTAGATTTCACTGAAGTCTACAAGAATTCTGACTTGTTTCAGTAAGTGGCCCGCCTTCCCTTTTGTTTATTTATTATTTTTTTTCCAACAGCTAATTTTGCTCCCCCTGAGGATATAACTAATGGGAGATTTCATTCTAATTTGCAGGAGAAATAAGGCTTTGATCAAGGAGCTGAGCATACCTCCACCCGGTTCAACTGATCTTTACTTCCCAACACAGTACTCACAGTCCTTTATTTCTCAGTGCATGGCCAGCCTTTGGAAACAGCATCTTTCATACTGGAGAAATCCACCATACACTGCAGTGAGGTTTTTCTTCACATTGGTCATCGCCTTGATATTTGGAACAATATTTTGGGATCTTGGTGGTAAAAAGTACGTACGCAAATCACTGCTTATAACTTTTTTTTTCTCTCAACGTTTTCAAATTTCATATCTTCATCTACCTATCTTTGAGAAAAATCCTATTTATAAAAATGTATATTTCATCCTTAACTTCTCCAATAATTTGAGATCCTAATTCTGCCACTAAATATGCTGATGAATGTTTTGCACAGGAGTAAGCAACAGGATTTGTTTAATGCAATGGGTTCAATGTATGCTTCAGTTTTGTTCCTTGGGATTTCAAATGCTTCTTCAGTTCAGCCTGTGGTTTCTGTTGAAAGAACAGTCTTTTACAGGGAAAGAGCACAGGAATGTACTCAGCTCTGCCTTACGCATTTGGACAGGTATTCTCTCTTCCACCATTTTCATATATAACATTACTCTTTTACACCAAAACTTTCTTTTTCTTCATCTCACCAATGGTTTCTAATGCATTTATAGGTTGGAATAGAAATTCCTTATGTCATGGTCCAAGCTATCATCTATGGGCTCATAGTTTATTCCATGATTGGCTTTGAATGGACCGCCGCCAAATTCTTTTGGTACTTGTTCTTCATGTTCTTCACATTCCTCTACTTCACCTACTATGGAATGATGGCAGTTGGCTTAACCCCCAATTATAACATCGCTTCCATAGTTTCTTCAGCATTTTATGGACTGTGGAACCTCTTCTCTGGCTTTATTATTCCCCGACCAGTAAGTTCTAATTCATTATCACACTAACGTCATATTATATCTGTAAGGCAGTAATTAAAATTTTTATTTATATCTTCTGCAGAGGATGCCTGTGTGGTGGAGATGGTATTCCTGGGCATGCCCTGTTGCTTGGACTCTATATGGATTGGTAGCTTCGCAATTTGGAGATCTGGATGATAAATTTGATAACAGTGAAGAAACTATTTCTCAGTTCATAAGAAGCTACTTTGGATTCAAGCATGATTTCTTGGGAGTGGTTGCAGTTATGGTTGTTGGGTTTGCAGCACTCTTTGCTTTCCTGTTTGGGTTCGCCATTAAAGCACTCAACTTTCAGAGAAGATAAAAGCCATGTTTTGCTTTAAATGATTGAAGAGATTTTATTTCTCACGTATTCCACGAGCAAAAATATCATGTGATCTTCGTGGTTTTTGGGGTGGTGCAGAGGCAATTGTTATAGTTTTGTATGTAATTATTCTTTTTCTAGTACATTTTTTGGTTTTCAATTGAATGTAAAATATGGATTTAAATAGTCTATAGTGCAATAGAAGTCTTTATTTCTTATATTTTCGTGTGCTGAGAATTTTACGGCGATATAAGATGGATGATTTGAAATTATTGTGTGGTGCAGTCGAATAATGATTTGTTAATTCTTCTCCATAAGCTAATTATGCGAGAGCAATCACGTCGATATTGGAAATTCCAATTTTTTGTGAATTTATTGTGTGGTGCAATCTGTTGATGTGTACTATTTCTAATTTCAATTTTTAAAAGTTAAAAGTATTTTGTGTAGTATAAATATAAAAGGTAAAATTTAAGTGTTAGATATTGAAATACATAATAGTTGGGTGGTATGTGTGTGTAAATGCACGTTTTAGATTCCACCATTGAACTTTGAAGTAACTTTTGGTTGGGTCGGCCCCATGATGCATAAAATTTTTATAACAATTTTACTAAACCTTTACGCCACTTAATTAATTATGCGTTAATACTTTTTAAGATAATTATAACTTTTTTATGTTACGAAAAAAAATTGCTCTGAAATTTATTTTTTCTCTACATCATTATTACAATCAGGAATATTCACATTGAGATATATAATTATTAAAATTCACTTATTTTCTGGAAGAGGATTATCATTTTTCTTTAAAAATTGAAAATAATTATAATTAAAATCTGTACAATTCTGAATATTTTCATCACGAAGCATCGGATTCCATCTGAACCTTATTTCTAAGGCCAGGTTGACAGCAACCGATGATATAACTATATATATAGAAAAATATATTCACATAACTAAATTGCACAACTGTCCTTAAATACAGTTTCAAACCCTTCTATATACATAGAAAAATATATTCACATAACTAAATTACACAACTGTCCTTGGTGCAGTTTTAAACCCTTATTATTAGCCGGCAACTCTTTCGTAAATTCGCAAGACAATACATCTTAAGCGTTACAATCTCTTTTGATTGAAACGAACGGTGGATGATGACATTAACCTTTCCTTATTGTTTCTAGTACGTGACATGATCTGAATCGTTCATCAGAATGAAAATTCTAGTACACGAATCCCAAGTAATCCTAGGAGAGAAACTATCAAAATACAAAAGAATCCGACCAAACAAATGACCGCTGACGCGGCTAAATATCAAGCCACAAATTCTTCGGTTCATTTTCACAGTACAATTCTCAGGTCGCCTTAAAAAAAAGTTAATTTTTTTTTTAATGTACTCTGGTGAGGTCGGCCCCTCGCACGACCGAGTGGATTTTCCTTGGCTGTTTCTTTTCCCTCTCGCACTCTCTTCTATGCTCTCATGCGTTACAAAAGATTGGATTTTGGGGTTTTTTAGCTGTCGGAGAAATTTGCGGAGACGAGGAGCAGTGAAGGTAGAATGGCGCCGGCGTTGGATATCAGCTGAATGATTTGAAGTGCCGGCGAGCATAAGGAGGAAGAAGGGGAAAGGAGAGAGATTTGGGCTTGTTTGTACTGGTGGGAATCATGTCTCATACGAACTGGGAAGCGGATAAAATGTGAGTTTTCGAAGATTATTTGCTTTTCAAAATGGTTTTTTTTTAATGGGGCCGTTAGATGGCGCTGATTGCTTTTGTTGCGGCTTAATGGCTCGGTTTCCATATCTGATCAAGGCTTTATCTGTTTTTTGGGTTTTTGTTGTTGTCTGTTGCTGTCGTCTTGGCTAAATGATTTAATGTTACTGTTATTTTTTTGTTTTTGCTTTTGGGATTTCAGCTAATGGGAGATTCTTGGATGTTTATTTTTTCTTGGGTTTTTAATCTTAATGAATGTTCTTTTTTTTTTTCATTTTTTTTTTGTATTTTGGTTCTGATTAGCTTCTGTACTGCAAAGGGCCTGGCAATCTGAAGTCCACCTTGCACTTGTGTTTGAATTTATCCTTTTAGCTGGTTTTTTTTTTCAATTTTTATAATTTTTTAGACTTAATCTGATTTCTATCTTTTTTTTTCCTTTTTTCTTGTAAACATTTTGAACAGGTTGGACGTGTATATATATGATTATTTAGTAAAGAGGAATTTGCAGGCCACTGCAAAAGCATTTCAAGCTGAAGGGAAGGTATCTTCGGATCCGGTTGGTAAGTACGGTTGAGAATTATGATTTATTTATTTGCATTTTAAGCAGTTTGAGCGTTGCATGTGCAGTTAATTTATATTATTTTTATTTCTGGAATGGGATGGGTTCAGCTATTGATGCTCCTGGCGGCTTTCTCTTTGAATGGTGGTCAGTCTTTTGGGATATTTTTATTGCAAGAACTAATGAGAAGCATTCTGATGTTGCTGCATCATATATTGAGGTATGTTCTTTCCTTTAAATTTTTTTTTTGAATATCTCCATTATTATTGCAGATCGTGGTTGATAGAATCTAATTGTATCTTTTAGCTGAATACTTTTTCACGATTTATTCTATGTTTTGTTTGTAGAAAACCGTCGAATCACACAACATTATGCTCTATTTTTAGTTTGATTGAACTTGCTGAAATATTTTGTGTAATTTCAGCAGGCAGTGTTGGAACTTTGGACAGCAACCAAATGAAATTTATGATTTGTTTGTCATCTTATATTGTTTTAGTGAATTTAGTATTCTCTTGTTAGGCATGGGCTGATAGAAAATGAGAAAATCAAGTTAAGCTTTGAAACAAAATATTGAAAGCTTATTAAAGCAATCTTGACGAAAGCATAAAGCTTCCACCATGGGAAAGCAGCGGGTTGAATTTAAACCCATCAAACTTACCTGCTTAAGAAAACGAATCACAATATATCTCTTAACCTAATAAGCATGAGAGAAGGGTCATGATAAAACGAGGCATTTTGCAATTGAATGTTGGATGCATTTTTCGTAGATTAATAGATTCATAGAACATGATGTGAATCTCCTCAGACTTAAACTTATAGCTAACCTTGAATATTTGAAAAGCTTCCTTAACAAAATTCGCGCATTCACAACTGCATTAGCTTAATAAATGTAATGATTAAGCTAGGATGCAATCAATTATTAAGCTCAAGAAGGCACTCTGGTTATACTATTTTTATTTCATACACCTAAAGAGTGAAGTTAGTTTTTTCTTTTGAAATTTCCATATAAGAAAAAATTTATAAGACAGTTAAGCTTTGCTTTACAGTTGTTCTTCTAAAAGCTATTTGAAAACTCATGTTTATAACCAACCAATTTTACTCTTGATGATGATTGGTCTCCCCGTTTAACTTACAAATCTAAGGGTTGAGTTGCATGTTGGTTTAGCAAGTACCCGGTGTTTGCTCTATGTATGAATCTTAGGCTTAATAAGTCCAAAAGACTGAGTTTCAATATCACTAATCTCAAGCTCAACAAATCTAGAAGGGCGAGCTTGAATATTAAATCTTGGGTCTGCATGCCCAAGGGATGAACTGTTAGGTCCCTTCTGCTCACAAGCTTAAGGGATGATTAGTTTCATGGATTCAACAAACTCTGTTGAGATGAGTCAATGTATAAATCTCACTTTTAAGATCTAAAAGATTGAATATGAATGTTAAATCCTGATTCAATAAGCTCAATAGCCAAATCAAGTAGTTCTTTTAACTCACAAGCTTAAGGGCTGAGATATTGTGTAATTCAAGTTACTTTGGCAGCCGAGAAGTTTGAGGATTTAGCTTGAGATGTTCGAGTCAACTCATCAATCACATGCTCAGCAAGCTGAAGAACTAATCTCGGACTTCATGTAACGACCAAAGTGCAAAAAAAGTTATTTTTTCACAAATGCAATTGCAGAGTTATTTTGTTGATTCAATAAACTATAGAATTTGAGTCAGCATACCCAATTCCAGACTTAGCTAGTTCTATAGTCAATAAGCTTGATGACTGAAATGGCGAAAAATTCTCTGGTTATAAATTTTATGGTTGAGCAGCTTTACTAATTAAGCAGGCTTCCGAAGTTGAGTCATCAGACGAATCTCTAGCTTAATTTGGCTAAAGATCAAGTTTGAATATAAAATTCTAGAACCAAACTATCCCCTTTGCTAGTTCTGTAGACCCAAGACACAATTTATGAAAGCTTTCAGTTCAAAAACCTAAGAACCAAGTTGCTATGTCAATTCAACAAGCTCCATTAGCTGAATTGGCTTATAGATTTGATGGTTTAACAAGTTGAATGATCAAATCACTCCTTCACCTATTCAACAACCTAAAGATTGAGCTTTCACTCTTAACTCACTAGCCTAAAGGTCGAGCTATCTGGCTGATTCAATAAGCTCTTATCGGTAAGTTGCCACAATATCTGATGATATAACAAGCTCGAAGGCCAACTCATCTCTATTTTACTAAGTTGCCCTAGTTGTCGAGTTAGCATATACATTTGAGGGGTCAAAGATTCCAAGGACCGAAGCATCGTTGGCCAATTAAATGAGCAATGGGCTAAATTTGTGAAATTTCTCTGCTCACGAACCTTAGGGTCGAGGTGCCTCGTTGATTCAATAAATTTTAAAATCCTTATCAGCATATAAATCTCATGTTCAAAAAACCTACAAAACTGGTTTAAAATTTAAATCCTATTTCAAAAAGTTTAAGAGTCTAACTACCTCGTTGACTCATCGGGCTTCAATTGTATAATTTACATATTAATTTCAAGCTCAAGAAGTCTAAATTCATGCGTGAATTAGAAGTTCTAGTTCAATAAGCCTAATAGACGAGCGACATCATTCTTATGTCATTAACATAATGATCATGTTGAAACTCTAGCACACCTTGAATTTTAGTTCAAAGTGTCAAATTATGAATTTTAGTGAATATAACCTTAATTTAGAGGTAAGATTATACTAGAGGGTGTGCAATTGATATACCATACTTTGTTACACACCACATTCATTGGGGGTAAAAAAAAAGAAAAAGAAAAAAAGCCCTTCCTATTGTTCACTCCCTTATCTCCAAGACCAAGCATGAATTCATCTTCTTATCACACACTGGAAAGCCCATTAAAACCCATATCATCTTTCTCCATCTCTCTCTTGTGCTCTCCATCCAAAGCGTCACAACTTTTTGCGCCACATACCCTTTTTGCTTTCCCGTATCTTTTAAGGATGTCACTTCCGAATCTGCTTTCAAATGCTAGACATCTCTTCCCTATGAGTTCCCTCTTGGTTATGCTCGCTCTGAATCACCCGTCTCTTTCAAGTATCTGTCAATGCTCATTGCTAATGGCTGCCTCGTTCTCAGCACATGATGGTTGATCTCGCTGGTTTTCAACTCTCCATGTCGTCATCCTCCATCAGATTTCACACTAGGTAACACCTCCGAGCACAAATGCATTTATAAAAAGTTTGAGGGGTTGTTAATCATTAATCTAATTAATTTTAAGGCTATTAATATTTTGGCTGGTTAGTTTGAAAGGCCATTTATCTCTGATCCAATTAGTGTGAAGTTAATGCCAAGAAATGATGAATTTGATTACTAAATTTAAAGATGTTTGAGGTACTAGTGATCCATACTTGACATTTGGTTGGCATGTCCTTGTCACTAGGAGTGCCAATGCATTTACTGCATAGACTCATCTCAAATGTGTGCCAATATATCAAGTCACTCAGTGTGCCAATGCATCTCACATGTTTACAAGTATCATATAATAATGCTCACACATTATAGTACGCTGATATTCAGAAGGATTATTAATAACCTTGGGCTAAATTTGAGTACAAATAGTGTTGGTCTTTTGATCAAATCTATAAGCCTAGTGCCCATGTTTGATCGTATTGATTCTCAATTCATTTTGGGGTTTTGGAGAATCACTTGATATTCATGTTGAAATGTGTTCATCATCATTAATTAAATTTGACCTCTTGGGCCACTTTTCTTATAGGCGCATATTGCGCAATTCATAATTCGGTTTGCCTTTCTTAAATGTGGAGGGTGTAAGACCCACACTTGGGTTTGTCCGAGCTATAAGTCCTACATGCGAGCATGCCAACTGCTTGGTTTGTAAGCCTCAATCTTTTTGGCAATTCAAATGGAGCTATAAGTCTCAAGTTTAAAATAAGTTTAATAAAATAAAAGTTAAGGATTTACATATGCTAGTGGGCCTTCTAATAAATGTGAACTCATCAAACCAATCTAATTAATCTGGCCACCTTATCTATAAGTTCAGGCAATACAACCCATTACTTAGTTTTTCTCATCCTTAGGGCTGTAAGTCCTACTTATAGGCATCCATTGGCAATAAGCTCTATCCTGAGTTAAACACGAGTGAGCTCTCATGCTAACATGCCCACCAACTAAAATCAAATTCACCTTCAAACCGTGCAAAGAAAAAACCTCACATGCTTATACATATTTTTTTGGTCAAGTTGAAACTTATGGGTAATGGATGAATGGTACTTTTGAACTACGAGCGAACATATATTGTGCCTTCGAACTATTTCATGAAATTTCTTTGATCAACTTTCTACAAGTGAATGAGTTTATACCAATCTTTAAAATACTTCTTTGAGACGCTTACATTTTCTTTCCAGTTTGCTTTGGATGCAATGGTGGAGGGAGCCTATGACTGTTAATCAGGTTCCCTGGACAATATAGTTCAAGAACTTTGATGTTGGTAGGCTAGGGTCATTAATATATTCGAAATGATGAAACTATGATATCTCGAGTAACTTTACCTCTACCCCTCGCCTCTTCTCTCTCCCTCTCTCTCTCCCTCTCCCTCTCAGTCTCTCTCAAAACTACTCTATTAATTCAAATCAATTTCACATTAAATCTAAATATAAAATTTAAACATAAGTAATCTCCTTAATCGAGCAGGTGCAGCATGTTTAACTATGAATCATAATACATAAACCAACAATTTTAAGAATATTTTGTAAGAACTAAACCGACAAGAGAGAACAATGATTCCAAAGTGATCTTCAATTTCAAGTTCTCATCTCCCCAATATCTTCATGCAGCATACTTTCACCTTCACTATTGATCTTTCAAGTGTCCATGGAAGGAGTAAAGGATGCAGGAGTGATTTGGAGGGGATTAGGAGAAAAGCGTTTGTTGGAGTGAAGAGCAGATGGTGGCTAAATGTTTCTTAGGAAAAACTCTATAGGGTCTCCAATCTACAAGAATTCTCTAGATAAGCATACATTATGATTAAAAGCAAAGTAGGAAAGATTAAAGGAGGGCGGATTGCCACTCTCTTATGAATTCTTCTTGTATTGGTTCTTTTTTTTTTTTGGTTTTTTATTTTCGCTTTTCTTTGGTTGGCTTTAACTATTGAACCCTTTTGGAATTTTGCTTGGCTCATTCGTCATTATTTATGTTCCTATTAAGAAATTGTATTCTTTGCTTTTCAAATGTATAAATAACGTCAATGGCACAAGTTTGAAATTCTTTGAAGATTGACTAATTTAATTCTCTCTTTATTTTTTTATTTAACCCCCTTCTTGTTTCGAGTTAGTCACCTTATTTCGCTATGCTTGCAAAGGCTAATTGTGTCTATGTATCTTGTTAGGCTCAGTTAATGAAAGCTCGAGAGCAACAACAACAACAACAACCTCAACAACCTCCACCAACACAACAACAACAACAACAACAACAACAACAACATCAACAACAAGTTCAGATGCAACAACTTCTATTACAGAGGCATGCTCATCAGCAGCAGCAACAACAACAGCAGCAACAACAACAACAACAACAAAGAAGGGATGGAGCACATCTCATGAATGGTTCAGCAAATGGGCTCGTTGGCTGTGATCCTTTAATGCGACAAAATACTCCCACAGCAAATGCACTAGCAACAAAGATGTATGAGGAGCGGTTGAAGTTCCCTCTTCATAGGGATTCTTTGGACGATGGTTCGATGAAGGTATATTGTGAATTTGATGTATTTTATATTTAATAGGGAGATGGTACTCATATTTCTTAACTTACGTACAAATCTGACAGCAAAGATTTGGAGAGAATGCTGGACAGCTTTTAGATGCCAACCAAGCTTCAATGCTAAAGTCACCTGTGACATCAGGACAAGCTTCAGGGTATCTTTTATCTTCATAACTAACAATTTCTCTTGCATTTATATTTATTTTCGTACTCTGCTTGCTTTCTGTATAATGTGAATTCATGACCTTTTTGGGAACAGTTTGTTTGCAGTTGTTGAAAGTGTATTAATGTTATTGCATATTGTTCCCATCTCTGCCAAAACTAAAAGAAGCTTCATCCAAGGTTCCTTCATTCATGTATGTGTAGGTTTATAGGTTAATTGTTACAACTTTCCTCTTAAGGATGAGACTATGCTGAGGAAAAGAGTTAAATGCGGCTTATAATCAAGCTTGATCATTTTATTAGGAATGTTAATCTATACATCCTTGGTTCTAAATATTGATGTGTATGAATTACTTCACCTTTCTTATTTACTCTTAGTTTTTTATTTTATATTTTGTTTTTTTATTTTTATTTACTCTTAGATGAATAAGATGAAAATTTTATATTTTTACCTTTACTTTTTCCTGGCATGCTTTTGTTTACTGTATTTATGAAAACAATCTGGCATGTTGGATCTTCTTTAAAATGGGGATACTATGCTTTATAATTTTTTTAAATTACTATTTTGCTTTGCCGCTTTCATAGGGTGAATGTTGGTTCTATTTGAATTTAATGAGTCAACAACCATATATAGATCTGCACTAATTTCTTTAGAGTGATGATTCATTTAATCGAGAGTTATTCACGAAAGGATCTGCAGCTAGAGGTTTGAGATTGGAAAAAGGTTGCTTCTCCAAGATTATGGGGCTGCCATATACTTTGTCACTTCCTTCACATTCCAAAAAAAGGAAAAAAAAAAACAAAGAAAATGACTTCTTCGTTTGTAATGAATTAATGCTGCTTCACTGTTTGAGCTGCCTTGTAATCAAACCAAGAATATTATTTTCAACTTGTAAGACTTTATTTGCATTAAAATCATGAATACTATTTATTAAATTTTGTCATCTTAAAAATTATTAAAGCTGCCCAAATCAATTAGGTTGGAGTGCTATAGCATAATCAATAATCCAATACATAAAAAAGTAGTATATCGAAGACGCATCATGAGTGTTTGTGATTATAGAATTTCTTGATATTTATTAGCAAGGCTTGGTATATGAACCCTGTGCAGGAACCGGCAAAATGGTAGCAACCATCTCTTAAATGTTCAAACTTCTCTCCACCGGAATATAAATGAAGCTAGTTCTGTTCTAATAAAGCTCAAATATAAACCTCTGTATCCTTTTTCAGTTTAATGCCAGTGGCTTTAGTTCGTATGCATCACTTTCCAGGGATCTTTCACTGTTATGGTCTAGCCTTGGGGATATTATTTAGAATATTTCATAAGTTATTGGAGTTGCTTTTTGCAGCATTGGTTTAAATTCTGCATCCCTTCTTGATATTTGATTATGGCCAATCAAACATTCATCAAACATTCTGTTTTACTGCGAGAATTACTTTTATGTATTTTAGTCAGTTCCTGCAAAATTTCCTGCACGAGCATCTTCTTTTTTTAATTATTTTTCTTTCTAGTTTTACGCCGTTGGATATGTGCTTACACTTCATTTTAGTTGAGGATTATAATTTTCACAATCAAATTGTATTGATATTATTATTTTCAATTTGGCAGGCCAATTCTACATGGATCAACTGGTACTATCTCTGGTGCCTTGCAGCAGGTTCAGGCTAGGAACCAGCAACAACCCGGAGGAATACAGGATATCAAGACTGAGATGAATACAGTATTGACTCCAAGAGCTTCTATTCCTGATGGATCATTAAATGGGGTGCCTGGTAACATTTTTGCTATATTTGTTCACTTTTAGAGTGGTATACACAAATATTTGCTTCACTTTATACTGCCAATTTGTATTTCTGATATGTATTTCGGGCCTTGGAAAATCTCATGTAGATGACTGTCGGCGATAAAAAGGGTGGGGTTGGTGGCGGAGTTGCCCGTAAGAAGCTGTCGGTCACCGGAATCGAAATCCCGTCGCCCGCTTCAGAAGGGCGCTTTAATTTACATATAGATTTAAGTTTAAAATCAAATATGAAAATCAAACTGACCCATATTTTTCATAGTTTAAATGAAAGAGCGTTATACCTCAAACCCTGTATTTATCCCGAGGGATAAACACAAAACTTTAGGATGAGACTCGATCAAATAAACTAAAAAATATATGACGTTCGTTTGGTCTGCGAAACCGTTTTATTTGCCGACAAATTCCCCTATTTAATATGAAAAATTAAATAGAATTTATTTTAAGCTGGGTTCAGAAAAACTTCCTATAAGGGCAAACCTCTATAGTTAATTACATCTTAAATAACCGAAATCACTTAAAAATACTCTCGATAAAAATCAAGAAAAATTATCTTCAAGGACTTCAAAAGGATGAGACTTTTCAATGAAATCGGACAAAGAGGTGTGAAAAGGGAATGACTCAAATTTAGAACATTTATTACAGAATCCAAAGGAAGAAGAACTAGGGGATGCCACAAATCCAGAGGAGATCCCCGGTGACTTTCCAGTCTATCATATAATTTGGCTTCAGTTTCGAGAAAAAATATTCAAGTGTTTCATCCTGCCAATTTTATTTATGTAGGGCTTACATTCGTGTGAAACGATCACTCAAATAGCCTGGAAGATGTGAGAATTTAGGTCGTGATGAATGACAATCTCAGAATCTTAAAATGAGTTAGGGCTTAGATCGTATAGCAGAGCTATTCAAATGCCTAACGAAAAAGTTTAGGATTTATGCTGTGCTAGGCGAACAACCTCGAAATCTTATGGATTGTTTTAATTCTATGAAAGGAATGATTTAGCTGGGGAAGACATGCTCTGTTGTTGAAGATGATCTCTGTTGTTGAAGATGATCGTGCTGCCCACCACGCTAGTTTCAAGCTCATTATCGTGACAAGTTTAAGTTTTGTAGGGTGTCAGGTTATAATGTCAAATTCAACGGCCCTATGGTTGTAGTTCTTCAAATATTTTATAAATAACATGTTGAAGTTGTACAGTGTATGACATGACGGTAGAGTTTGTAGTACATGACAAACAGTATAGTATGCAGTAAAGAAAACAGTACAACATGCGTTGTAAAGAAAAGTAAAAGGTACAGTAAGGAAGTGATTATAAGAGAATAACATGCTGTAAACATAAAACAAACTTGTATACCTGGGAGATCGGTTGTTCCTTAGGTGTAATTGATGCAACAGGTACAAACAACAAGACTTGATGAAGCATGCTGAAATACTTTATATAAACGAAAACAAAGAAACATCGTCCAGAAATCTCGAGAAAGATCGTCAAAAGACTCACAACAGGAGCAATGCGAGGAAATCGGCGAATCGACAAATCATAGAAAACACAGGAAAATCCAGAAAATAGACCACGAGTGCTTTGTCCGAAAAAAATTGATAATACATATGAAAAAGTCCGAAAAGAGGGGACCGCAAGCACTCGGGTCGGGGCTAGGCTCAACTATATATTAGTACTCGAGGGTCGTCGAAGGTTACTCGGTCACCCGGATGTATAAAACCCGCCACTCAACTAGAAGGGTGTCCTATCGAACTTAACTCAGGAGGGTACTCCTCAGCCTAAACAGGTGATCAACAGGTGGACAACCGATGTTTAAAATGCATTTAAAATTTATATTTTCAACATGCACATAGGCTTCAAACATGCAAAAAGTGGGTTGTATCAATTTTGTTTGTAGCGAAAAGTGTATTTTTATTTTAGAAAAAAGTGTATCTGTTCTTATCAAATTTATTTTTATCAATTTTGAAAAGTAGTTGTCTACGAGTCGATTGCGCTGTCGGGCAGAAGACTACCAACAACCTAAGAAGATTCAGGTCAATACGAAGTGATGAACAACAGCTAAGGCTCTCGGCCAAGGCAACCCACAAGTGAGACAACTACTAAGGCTCACGGCTTAGGGCAGGAAGGGACAACTGCTAAGGCCCATGACCAAAGGCAACCCAAGGAACAACAATTAAGGCTCACGGCTAAGGCAACCAAAAAGGAAAGGGGGAGCTATTAAGGATTAAGGCTCACGGTCTTACGACCGAGGCAACCAAAAGAACCACTAGTTGTTGCTATGCTCCCCCGACATACATAAGAGGTTAACTAAAATGATTATAATTTTTTGGATGACAAACTTGATTTATCAACAAAATATAAGCTAATTGAGTACAACAAGAAAGAGTCAAAAGACTCCAAATAACCCACAAACAAGCTCACAGGTAGGACCAAAGGGGGAGACTAACTCAATCACATCACAAACCCACGGCTAGGAACCAAGCAAATATAAAAATTGCAGCTTTATAAACTTCCAAACCAATACATCAAAACCAACTGACCGTTCTCGAATAAGGACAACACAGTACGCCAAAACAGGCTCTCGGGTAGGAGCTAAGGCCAACAAAAATCAAAACCCAAACCACTTCTCGGGTAGGGGCGGGACAAGGCAAAACCGTGCCCCCAACCGGAGTAAAACCGAACACCGAACCTTCCCATAGCTATGGGACAGGGACAGGAATAAACGCAACAACAAGCTCTCGGGTATGAGCTAAAACAAGCAAACCGAGTTCCCAAATCAAGTTAGAATAAATCCCTCAAAGTTAACAAGTAAAGCTCACATACCCAAGACAAGATTTCAATCTAGAACCCAGCCTCCAACCCTTCTAAGGTGAAAACCGAGCCCCTAAAGAGATCAAATCAAAGCTTTAAAGGCTAATCAAATGCAGTATATGATAGCAAATCCAAACCTAGCCATTTTTTAAGCAAACCGAAAACCAGCAGGGGCAAAAAGAATAAAGCCACATCCCAAATCAAACAAAAATAAGCCTCATAATCAGGCAAGAGTCAAGAGCTAGAGAAAGTAAGACCGAGCCCCAATGGAGGCCAGAAACCGAACCACTCAAGGCTAAAACAGGGCCCGGAAACTCAAGCTTTAACAGAAATTAAAGTTCCAGTTACTTCAAGGTGAATCCGACGCATTTAGAACCAAAAAGTAGTTCACATGCCATTTGAGAAGTGCTTATATCATGTTATATCCACAGTAATAGAAATATGTCATAATTTCATCTCAAGCAAGTAGAGAAAAGAGAAGTGCTTATATCATGTTATATTTCCACCATTTTAAGCAAGTAATCAAGTCCAATCCCTAGAACATGCTCATACTTCCATCTCTAGATGCTAGAGTAACATGCCTTTCAAAAATATAAGTGCAACACTAATCTAACATGCCACATTATCCATTGCACCAAGCTAACAGAGACTCAGCATAGAGCAAAATCGAAAACAGGGCAAGGCACAAAAGGGGAAAATGTACCTCCTTGAAGCAAAATAAAGTAACACGGCAACTTTAAAGGAACTCCCCAACTTCAATTCCTCCTCCAACAGCAAGAGGAAACCAATTCAAGCACCAGAAAATTAAAGAAGTGAGAAAAGAAAATGACAAAGTTTCCTCCCTTAGAGATTTTTGGCCTTACCCCTAGGGCTACAAAAACCAAGCTCTAATAAAGGAGAAGAAGAATGATTAAGAAGATACGACAGAGGGATCGAGAGAGGCAGAGGATTAGATCATTGCAGAGGATACGATCCGCGGCAGAGAAGATCGAACTCAGAACGTAGAAGAAAAGGGAAGAGGGATGGGGTCGCGCGTGCGAGAGGCAAACGCAGGAACGAAACCCCCCAACGACTAGGGGTGTAAACGAACCGAACACGAACGAACAAAGCTTGTGTTCGTGTTCGGTTCGTTTAAAATTTAGTTTGTTTGAAATAAGCTCGTGTTCGTTTCTTAACGAACGAGCCGAACAC